TACCTCACTCCGTTCCATTCCGTTCCCTTTCCATACCTACTTTCACCAATTCCTTCTCTCGACTCGGCGCCCCGTCCATCGACGCCTGTAAAACTTCGCTCTTCTGTTAACTTTAGGAAGCTGCCTAATCGACATAAACCTGAGAGCACAGCAATCCGCTCCCGCTCGTGTTGGAGCTAAAAATCGCTAAGCGTCGCACCTTAGTTAAAAGGTGTGGATTTCGACGTCACGCTTTGAGATTGGAAACTGACTGAGTTGATCCGGTAGAAGGTTCCGATCAGGTAACAATATTGGAATGGTAAGAAACCAGAAATGTTATTAACCAATTTGAATAAAGCCAAAGTCACGTCAGAAAATTTTCTACAAATTTGTACGCAAACTGAAACATTATCTTTCATTATTTATAGCACTCTAGATTAGAAATTGGATATATATTTGTAAACTTCTCAAGTAATCAAAATCCATAGCAATCTGCGATGGAACCCGTCAAATCTAATACTGCAATTCAATACGTTTTACTACGTACTTTATTTCAATACGTACTTCATTCGAATACATTTTATTAAGATTTAATTCATTCAAATCCATAAAATGAAGATTATCTAAATAATTGTATTGATTGCAATTCCATCAAAAAATTTATTTTTATTTTTCATCATTCAATTCTCTGTATTTACTGAAATTTTCTCAAAGAGTAATGGTAAATATAGTTTATGATAAATCTAAATTCAAATTATCGGTGCGTCAATGCATGATGTTTCCCTTATTAATAATACTGACATACGGGTATTGCAATTATGCTCTTGTCGATATACATGGATGGGTCGAATGCTAAAATCAGACGGATACACTATGCGATAGGCAGAGATCTATGTTTCACTAAATAACTAGAGTTCATAATTTATGAAAGCACACAAACAAAACCATGATCAATTTAGATGCTTTCAATATTTTATGTGGTTGAATTTTCATCTTAATTTTTTCTCAAATCACCAACGAATTTTCATGAGATTCAAAAGAGAAATTCTGACGCCGGCCGAGGCCCGGATAAAACTGACCCGATTTGGTATAAATCCGATTAACCTGGATTACATGTGGCCATTTCTGGCCTCCCTCTGTAATCTGGTATCAATGATGATGTTTTTGGTGTAAATAAAAGTGCTAACTCGCACTTACAAATTAAATAGCAGCTCATCGTACGCCAAATTTGTCATGAAGGCTCGATCTTAGAAATTTCGTTAATTGCAGAGAGTCAGGTTTACATTGATTTAATCAACGAACTGAATAAAAAAATTTACAGATGGGAGTCTCGTAAGGGATAACATGAAAAAAATAATGAAAAAATTATGGAAAGTAAAACTTCACCCTTTATATTTTATTGATGTTTTAGTGATGATAATATAAAGTTATCATGATAATAAGAAACATTTTCGAAAGATAATATTACATTTTAGACCCTTTTCAAGAATTAAGCACTAGAAATTAAAATATTAATCTCATTTCCCTGCGTCGTGCATCATCAAAATTTTAAATTACACCTTTCCGGTTATAACATGAAAGTATGACTGCGTCGGATACGCCAAAAAAGTCGCGGTCCGTTCTAAGCCTCATTTTGTTAAGGACCTGCGCGTAAAATTTTATTGCAATTAGGACGGCCAAGTTCACTCGCAAACTTTTATCAAAAGTGATCCTATTTGGGCTAATGGCTTGGAATAGCGCCACAAACATCTTACTTAACTCACGGCTTCATCTAGATGGTTTGTCGGAGAATATATCGACGTTACTTATAGTCACAAATTCAGCTATTCATCCTATCACTAGACCTAGCCGTTATTTGAAAATATATAATTTGATATTAACATGACTACAATATTGTGCTGAAATATTATGCATGCACATTTGCAATTCTCATTACACTCAAATTATTATCAGATTGCTTTTAACAGCATCGCGATAGAAGTAACTTAAATCTTGGTGTCAAACTCCGTAGACTATTTGCTCACATATACATGTATACATACATCCGCAATAAATGAATTTATTGCCCCACATATTTCCATTATTTGATGCCTGCAAATAGTTCAGCTGACAGGCAAGTCATCCCTCCCGTCATTCCTCACTTTAAATGTAATTTTCGATGATAAACGCCAGCACCGTTTTAAAACAAACAGATATTTGGACTCGTCAGGTTACGTGACCCGTTACATTCTGCGCTATAATTCCTCATGCAACGCGAGTTGAGCCCCATATGTACTAGGCAGTGAATATTTAGGTAAAATCACAGAAACAAAATTCATAATAAAAATATATAATAAAACAATCAATGAAATATATTTCCATTTATATAAAACTTTAATAGTGATTTGGAACAAATGAGTTACCATAACACCAAAGTCCTTGAAAACTGTACATTTGTTTCCAGAATATTAATAAATCTTAATACCCGAGATACTTTTTATACATAATGAATTCAAACATTAGTTGGAAAGAACGTTACGCAAGTTTGAATATCACAAAACCTGGCGTCGCTCATGTTTATGCTCTCATTATTTTAGATTAGAGTGCGTGCCAAAAATCACGAGAACACTATTTGTTTGAGCAAAAATAGGCAACAAAATTATGATCAAGTGAATTTTCAAGTAAGGAAGATTCTTTGTTTGTTAATGTAAGACCAAGTCAATGTCATGCACAGTCAATAATCAATAAAAGTATGTCATGCACTAATCAATTTAATCAATTATCAATAATCATTATTGTCATGCACAGTCAATAAGCAATAAAAGTAAAGCACTTGAAGAAATTTTTACATTTTCTCAGTTCAGAAAATTCTGTCCAGGCAGGCTTTAAAAGGTTGAACATTTATCTTTATGAATGTAATTATCATCGATATATTAATTTGAGGATTACTAGCATAGGTATTTAAAATAAAATAACTGTTGGCTGATCGTCTAACTATTTTTTAGTTTAATTAATTTCTCAGAATGCTGAACAGAAAAGGCGAAACTGTAGCAACTGCAGCGGCAGTAGCAGCGTCAGTCTCTGCCGTCAGGAGAGAACAATTAACTCTCGTGTCACCGAGAAATTTTTGCATACGCTTGCCGTTTTTTTCTGGCGAGTGGTGTTAACTTTTAAAGAGAATTGAAGGGGCTTGGTCACAGTGACTGGCTACAGAAGAAAAATCAATGTTGTTTCGAAATATTTGCAGGCTTAATTATGACATATTTGTATTCTGATAATTTATGTATTTAATAAATTAATGAATATCTGGCAATTATTTAACAGTATATGCCATGCAACTCAGAGTTTGATGGTTATTAGTTAATAATGAATACTTATCGTCAAGGAAACTTGAGAACAATTCTCAATTATTAAGCTGGAAATAAAAAGTTCTCGGTATTTCTCGGTAAAAAAAGCAAAATTTTTTTCCATTTAGAAACACTATTAATTCATCAAAAATAATTATAAAAACAGTGTTTCTTTGTTCTTTTTATATTTTCCTCCTAATACCATGAAACAAAAATTATTATTTTTCTTTAAAAAATGGAATTTGGTCTCAAAATGTATCACCACTATTCACGAGAAAACAAGGTTCCACGCAGGTATTTCAGGTTGTAAGTTCAGACAGAAAATTTCGCCCCCGATGTGTCGAGATGACCTGAAGGGAAAGCTTGAAATATTCTCTCACAAATGAGGACTCCTTTGCTCGCTACCGCAAAGGCCCGCACTTTCGTTCCTGATGAGCTCAGGAAAGAAAAGAAGCCACTGTCTGAGGTACAGAAATTTTTTCGAGGGAACGTCAAAATTTGTCGAAATGGCAAATTACGAAAAACCAAGGAAAAAGTTGAATGTTCAAAATTGAAACAAGGAGACCAAGCCTCGAAATTGGTTTTTGGAACGAAGTATAAGCTAAGTTCATTTGGAATACGAGGAAAATTCTTTATCTGTTCACGATCGTTACCACTGGAAAACGGCTGTAAATTTTTGCCTGTCTCTCAGTGAGGTAAAATAGACTTGTAGTGCTTCAGTGGACTAAATACTCACAGCTCCGTTTTCGTAGCACCAAATTCCAAGGAATATTCTTATAATTATTTGCTTTTATCTCATAATTTTTGTTTTTCATCAAATTTTTATTGTCTTTTTTTAAGTTTATCGAAGTCAAGACACATATATACAACATGAACATAAAATATATTTACATCGTTTTCATATCGCCATATGAATGAATATAAAACTGATCTAATGTTGAGTAAACGATCGATAGTATCCAAAGTAAATAAAAAATCAAAATCATTCATCAGTAGTCGTATACACGAATATACTTCTGAGATATGCGTGTTGCATCCACCACTCAAGTCGCTATGCTAATGCCACGCCCATCTGCGAACAAATGAAGAGCCCCACGCAAGTGCTCATGCAAATGTCACTGATGAGCCACTGGCCTGATGTCTGCGCCCGAAAGAGTAACCGAAATTCAGAGCTAAACACAAAAAATCGGCCTCCACATTCTTCTCATTATTTATGGGTGTAATTTAGTTTAAGATATATTCTCTGATATTGCTGATGGTGCGAAGAAAAATATCATACCAAGTATAGCATATTTTCAACCTTCTCTGATTATTTAGGTTAGCACTATATATTTTTGCGTGCATAAGTTAAGAGATAAAATCCGAAACGACATTGATGGCGGTGCATGCAGAAACTGACAGAAGACAACATTTATTGCAGTTTTTCCCGGCGTGAAATGTGTAATTGCATAAATTCTTGAAACATAAATTTTCTTGGGCTTTGGAAACAATTTAGGAAGTTTCGACGTTCTTCATTTGTGACAATGCTTGATTATTCTTTATTTAAATGAAAAGAAGAATAATACACAGGCATAACAAAATAGTAAATATGAATATTAGAAAGGTTTTAAAAAATTTGGAAATGTTTTGTAAAAATTCTCAGTTTCAGAAATTTGATTAACTACTCAGCTAATAAAAATATTTCCTGTTGTACAGGAGTGAACAGTCTGAAGATGCGGAACTTCGAGGTACCGCTTCACGTTGTTCGAGGGGAGACGACTGAGTTGAAGTGTGAGTTCGACCTGGAGGGCGAGAAGCTCTACTCGATCAAGTGGTACAAGGGAGGCCGGGAATTCTTCCGCTACGTGCCGAACGAGAGACCCACCAAGCTCAGATACGATGTGCAAGGAGTCTGGGTTGACGTGAGTATCAATTAATCAAATTATTTGTAAAGTGACCGAATTAAATTCGTTTTGTAAATTATTGGACCTATTTACCATCTTTTAAAACACATCTACATTATACAAATGTCGTATAAAAACGTTAATGCTCGCTGTGATAAAATTATTCCTCAAATCCCATTCTATCTACTTATATGATTATATGTAAAAAATTGGTACTCGATAGTATCAATTTTTGAGAGAATTTAGATCATGACCTGAACGGCCACAAATTAAAGAAGATTTTTAATTGCTCAGGCCATGAATCAAAGCTTCCAAATTTCTAGCTCATCTGCATACAATTCACTGGGGCTTTTTTGGAATATGAATTCAAAGTTCTTTACCATCAAGATGTTCTCAGCTATCACGTACTGAGGCTGCCAGCCAATGCAACAGTAAAGGCAGATTTCTCATCGATCACTAAATTGCTGTAGCCAAACTCCAGGAGGGTTTACGGGCAAGAAGGCTTCCGTATCGATTGCTGTGATGGACACCTTATGCTTAGAATTTCCCTGATCACGTTCGAAATAGTCGCGTGTATCATAGATGCAATTCGTTCAAACGGAGAACATTTCGTAAAATTTTAGTTATAAATTACGGTAGCACTCTAATTACAGGCAAAATTTGTTACAATGTTTTATTTCCAATTTCAATGTTATTTATGCAAGCACTTGTTTAGCTCTAGGTTCAAAATTATTACAAATCTAGAGTCATACTTCTTCAGTAATAATAATTAAAAAATAAACTATATCACTGGACAAACAAAATTTGATGGACAAAATGCAAAATTAATGCACATCATTTAGACGTACTCATGCATCAGGCGTGAAGCCCTACATAATAGCTATTTTAAAAGACCATAAGAAAATCGTATACATCTTAGCTTAAAATCTGCAAAATATTTAATTGCCACATCACTAATGGCTGCTTTCTTCTACTGATGTAGCACACGCAGGAAGTAGCTGGAAAATCGTTAGAAATTACCTATGTTTTGTTTACGACCTCGACCTTGTGAGTGTACGGGTTGATAATTAGGACACGGGTCACATGCGCATTATGTCATATCAAGAGTTAGTGCGATAAATATTGTCACGGTGTTCTGTAGAGCATGCATCAACAAAAAAATATAACTCAGTACTCACTGCAGTGAGTGACAGAGAGCGCATTTTCTCGTCGACGAAGCCATGAAGTCACGTACGGACAGACGGACATGGCGAGCACAATAGTGCATTTTTTCATAAATGAGAAAATGAATGAATGAATTATATTGTATAAAATGAATGAATTATATTGTTCAAATTGTGACACACCTGTTGCACGTAGCACTGATAGTTCTTTTGCCATGGCGAAACTTGGTTAGGATGACCACACAAGGGCAAAACGTGCATTGCTATTTAGATGAGTCCCGCTCATTTATGTAAGTAGTAAAGTTGAGGTATTTTTATAACTTAGTATAAAAATAATTCATATACTTGAATAGCACAATGCAATGTTTGTGCAATATGCATTGTAATTTAATCTTGCAATCGTATGACAAAACTGATAAATACGACGAGCCATGTCACTGCCATGTCTGTCTTTATTCTATTCAGACTACTCCTCACTGGATAATATTGTCCATCCCTTTGCGTTTTATATCCAGACTACTCTTCACTGAATAACACTGTCCATCATTGTGAGTCTTTTGTTCTTTCTACTCCTTAAGGAAAGATTTGTATTGTCCACCCCTGTGCGTTTTCAATTCAGACTACTCATTACTGAATAATATTGTCCATCCCTGTGCGTTTCATTGCAAAATTAAACTTCGTCTTTCTTCGATGAGCTATCGATCAAGTTGGTGAATTTTACCACCGGCGAACAGAGTTCGTCACGCACCAAACTCGTATTGATTTCACTACTTGTAACATTAATCTGGCTGCGCTTGAATTTCTTAAGGTCTTTAGGTCATCTCAGTCTATCGTCGACATGCTATGATGCCCAATTGATTGCTATTCTAATGAGATTTCTATGACCTATTCCAAGGGAAATGAAAATAAAATAAAACAGTTATTACTATTTTTACATATTAATAACCGAACATATTATTTTTTCAGCATAAATGTTTTCGATTTCAGTTGCTGTTCAGATATCACTGCTTTTTTTGCAGTCAAATCATATAAAAATGCATGTAAAAGTTCATTATTTATTCATACCAAATTAAATTTGTTCGACTTTACGATTTGCCACTTTAGGCAAATAAAAACTCAATTAGTTAAGATAATCTTCTCAAATTTATATATAATTCCACTCTTGCCATTTCAAGTTTCATTTAATAAATCTGTGAAATCTATCTACATGGCCTTATGAACATGATCCTAAATGTTCACTTTTTTCAGAATGGGTAATGACCACAAAAAACATGAACATTTTGTCACACTAATTTAATATTTCAGCTCCAGCCATTCATCTTCTCGGATTAATTCAGGACGATTTAATTTGAAATTCAAACATAACTTTATATATTTAAATATAATGGGTACGAAGTACTATGCAATTTCATCACTTCAGCACTCGTCTCTAATGCAAGTCGAGCCTGTAAAAAATGATTGCAGTGTAAGGCATATAGCTGCTAGTGTCACAGCTTCGGTAGTAGCAACACAATTTTAGTTAATTTCAGCCTAACTCATGCAGTTTTTTACGGTTCTTGGAAAATTTGTCTGATTACCGGGTTAGTTGTGTATGTCAAACAGTAATAGCAAGTCATAACTTTGTGAGCTTTTTACTTTTTTGTTGCTAATAATTTTATTTGCGTGCTGTGCTACTCCCAAATATTCCCAATAACTTTATTTTTCCTGGCACTTTTCTTGTAATCTATTAAGTCTAAAGTCCAAGCAAACAATATCAAATTCATACAACGGACATTCAACGCATCACGACTTATAGAAAGAACCTGGTATAATATTAAACATTTTTCTGAAAAAACTCACCACAAGGCTGAAAAATATTGCTAAAGTTCCCATAAAAAGCGTCAGTAGATTAAAGCAGTGCTCAGGGAAGCCGCAAGCTGACGACCGCCCGTTCGAAGAGCGCCGTATTAAAGTGAAGAGTCTAAGGAGACTTAAGAAGTTTGGGGTCAATCAGAGTCTTAAGACCGTTCGGAGATCTGTTATGACCGCCCAGCTCAGGCCGTCTGTAGACATTAAGAACCTTTGTAATGAGAGAACCAACTGCTGCTTCAGACGGGATCGGGGCTTGTGACTTCGGTGCGGCTCAGAGATTCGCTCGGAGAAAAGAAAAGAAGACATGCAAACGAAAAAAAGGCATGAAATGTAGTTTATTTTTTCTAAATTATAACTGCAGAAGAAGAAGGGTAGAGTAAAGCTGACGTATAGAGAGCATGAATGAGAGACAAAGGAGTTTGCAATTCAATACGGGATAATTGAAGAACGATAACTAGGATGAAAATTAAAAAAAAATATGAAAGTATAAAACCTCTTCACAAAAAAATTATGCCAGAGAAAAATACGAATTTCTGCGGGTCAATATGCAAAGGGTCATCAGACAGGCGACCAAACTTGTCGAAAAAAAAAATTCAGCGAAGCATGGGGATTCATCGACTATGACTTAAATGCCAACACTTACAGTAAATGCCAACCTGTATCATTGAATGTTGAAGAGGCCTACAACATCGAGGTTGAGATCTTCGTTATGTATTTCAGGGTCCCCACTCACCCGTCTCACTCCACTCAAACCACTCGTGCACCCGTCTCACTCCACTCAAACCACTCGTGCACCCGTCTCACTCCACTCAACCCACTCGTGCACCCGTCTTACTCCACTCTACTCACCCGTGTCACTCCGCTCAACCCACTCGTGCACTCGTCTCACTCCACTCAACCCAATCACCCCTCAAAAAAGAAACAATGCAGCCACAAAATTTTGTGTTCGTGTGTTTTTAGTGCCAGGCACGCGTTTCCTTTAAGTTATCCTCATTTTATTCTTAGGTTCAATATAATTATATGTATATAAATATATTCTATTAGGAAATCTCTGTTTGGCAATATAAAGTTCATGTAAATGGTGTATGAGCATCATTTCTTCGTATTAATCAAAATTCATTATTCAAAAGTGCATGAAATTTTTACTGAATTATGACATTTTTTGCAAGGAAACGAATTTTATTTGTGTTCTTTGAAGACGTTATTCAATATATAGTAATTAAATTTGTACATTCATTCATTTATAAACACATTGCAACATTAAAAATTTCAGGAAAATCCTCCGAAGTCGCGACTCGTGAAGGAAGGTTCGAAATGACTTGGTATAATCGACCCGTCCGTCGTCCGCAGTTTAAAGGAGCGAAGTAAAAACCGAAAGAGTTTCCATGTTAGCGAATAACTGGACGCAGTTCGTGGAGAGAAAATATTGACAAAATTCCGGCGTCAAAAATAAAGTGGAAAACTTTAAAAATATTCCACGGTAGGGTACGCTTGACTTCGCTTCTGCAATCAAGAGAGAAGGAAGTAACTGGTGAATAACACAACTATATGTGATATAAACTTATGACTCTCCAGCATAGTTTAATTTTTAGCGGTTAGCAAATCTGACTAAGAAGTTTTTAGTCTTAGAATCGATTGTAATTATTTATCAATATAATAGGATTAATATTATACTTTTCTCTGTGTACTCGAGTCTTTTTTACCGCCAAAAACAAACTAATAAATTCATATTTACAAAAATGAATGCGGTTCTATTATCAATAAGTTAGGGTCATTATTAAAGGCATTTTTCAGTATATTCGGATATTTTTCACCTCCAAAACAAACTTATATATTCATATTTGCAGAAATGAAAGCTGTTTGAACAACTTTCTGGAGCTCATTAAGCTACATGAATTCCAGGAAGTAGTTATATGGATGACATTGAATCTCAATTTGAAAAATTGTCCAAAATTGTTTAGTTTTCAAGGTAAGCAATCACTATCATTCATCGATCAACTTAGA